CGTTTGCATTCGCACCGCGGCACCGCTCTTGCACTTTGCACCGATGAAGCGGTGCTGGCGATCCGGTGGCGTCCAATGGCAGGCCCCAGTTGGGTCCATCAGGTTAAGATTGAGAATCTAGGAATGCGCAGATGCAGAGCTGTACCTTCCACGTGAGCTCTGAACCTGTCAAGTCTGGCTGAACGGAAGGGGCGAGTGACGAGGTCCTGGACCGCAGTCCGCAACTCCCTCCACCCCGTACCTTACCCAAGGTACGGACGGACCTGAGGTACCTTAAGATAGGTCCGTACGAGAAAGAGCCCCGCATTACCTCATCCCCTCCTTCCCGACTCTCACTCGTGCGAAACCAAACCCCAGACTGATGCGCAAACTCGACACTCGAGAGGGAAGGAGCCCTTTTGGGTGAGATGGGATCCTAATTTTCCATCGCGACGACAAGACGAATTTGACAAGGTCTCCCATTCTCTTCTCCTCACTTGCCCCGTTCATCTACCAAGACCCCTACGATATGCCGGAAGCAACTTTTGTGACTTAGGTTGTCTGGGGGTGGTCAGCAACTCAGCGTGCGCCTACGCCTGCCGCCTGCCTCGGTCGACGCCCAAGTACCCTGCATCTGAACACCCAGAAAGGGAAAAAGAAGGAAGAAAAAGAAAAAGTCCACCAGGAAACGACAGAAACACCGAGAGCCCAAACGGAACAAGCACCACAAGCCTCGATCCCCCTTTTCTGTGCCTACGAAGTACACTACTCGGCCGATGCCCGTAGCAGGACACCAAAGTTATTGGAGGTACTCCGTACTCCGTACCTCAACTCGTGTACGGATACAGCTCACGTTCGTTTTGCCAAGCAGCTATTTTCATCCACTTCACTCACTGCCGTCCTCGGTCCCGTCATCACCAAGTATCCACGGGGTATCCTCGCCCGCAAACCCCAAGCCAAATCGACTTTTCCTTCACCTCCATCTCCATCTTAAAAACAACTCTGCGAGCCATTCCGACCCTGTAGTGGAGCAGACCAGGACCTTGCCCGAAGCTCGAGAACTTTCAACTGCCTGCCTACATGGGGACGCAATTGACAACGTCACCAGAAAACCCGCCTTTTTTCGTTGCCCGTGCCATCGTCCTGCACCACTGCTTTGCACCTCACTCGCGGCCGTGCACCGCCCCTGGGCCCCCAGTCGAAAGTTCCAGCCCACCCGCTGGAATGCTTCTGGAAGATGTGGACAATTCTACCCCTCGTTTGAATCCCTTCCACTGCGCCAAGTCACATCCTAGCAAGCCTGCCACTCGCGGTCCAACTGGGTTTTTGCTTGCAGCCCTCCTGTCCGCTATCCACATCCGGCCGACAGGGATACTGCTTCTTTCCGATCAGGGGGGACACTGAAAGGCTGGACTGCTACGGTGCTTCTCAGTCCAGTCAGCTGCTTGCGGTTGCGTCGGGTTTTGGCTCCCCCCCCCCCCGATTTTGTCGAGAAAGGAAGAGGAGAACAACAAGACAACCCCGGTTTCCCACCGTCGGGTCGGGCAACAAGAGACAAGAGGAAAAAGAAAGCTGAACCAGGTCAGGGATATTGGGCTCGGGATTTCTTGGAACGTCGAGAATCCCGAATACCTGCTCAGGAACCCGGGACGCAGAGAAAGCACTGTTCCCTACGAGGCTACAACCACCCATGACCGCAACGGAGAACGTGCGGAGTTTATTTGGCTCTGTTATGTATGTATGCTCTGCCCTACTATTGCTCGCCGCTCGTGGGGAGGTTTGCCCGACTTATTCGCGAATAGCTACGCCGTGAATTACTCCGGTACGGTACTCGGGATCCGTACACTGGGGACGGGGTTATTGTTGGATTTCTTTCATGACGACCGGCCGGGTAATCTGTCTCAAACCGCCTTGCGATTCATAATCGCGATTTTCGGAACTTGACCCTACCCTAGCGCCTGCAACCCCATTACCTTGCGGCCCGTGTAATGCCTCAGTCAGTTTTGTCCCCTCCCCTCTCATTTTTGGATCAGAGACGTTTGACGGAGCAGTTGCACCACAACGGCGCATCTACCTACATGAGCGTCCGCAGCAGCTAACGTGCGGTCAAACCATGCTGGACATGCCTAGAAACGAATCAACCACTCGCAATTCCCGGCATGCCTTGGCCTCTGCGACCCCTACTCCGCCGCGAATCTCTTTTGGATGTTAGCGCACGGCTATAGAGCAACGCTTTACATACGAAGAATTCATTGTCTCCATTGAAACGTCCCCATTTCCCAGCAAGGCTTCAGAGTCCGCCCCCACTGGCACGCGACGATAAGACGGCTCAGACTTATTACACACAAAGTAAAGTGAGAAACAATGAACAGCAAACCATAGGAATTCGTCAAAGACTCAAAAAAGACTCAAGAATAGCTTAGATAGGCCGAGATTCCGTTGGCCACGGTGGGTCTTCCGAGTTCTAGAGCGAGTCAACAGCCCGGCCCCATTGTCCAGGTCGTCCCACGTCTTGGTCTTCTGGGGGTCTCTCGTCCATGGTATGGTGGTGTTTCCTCGTTGCCATGTCTTCGAGTCCCTGGTCGTCGCCAGTACCCCATAGCAGTTGTGTCCGAGGTCCCAGTCCCGAGCTGTCGGCAGCGACCCAAGGCCAGGTACCGATCAACTACGGAAGACCATCTGAGTGGATGAAGCCCACGATAATCGTAGGAAAATATCTATCATCTACCTTATTGTGTACTGTGTATGTCACGGGGGTTGTTTATTTTCCCTGACGTGCCCCGCACATGAAGAATCGCTTGACTTTTTCTCCCCCTCCCCCCTCCACAGGGCCACATTCATCCCACTCGATGAATGAAGAAGTAGGTGATGTGGTAATAACTAGACTGAGCTTGCCGTGGCCGCCGACCCGTTGAGGTTCTCGTCCTCGTCTTTTTCTGGTGTCCAAAAACCATATTCAGCCACTCAGCATTGAGTCATTACTAGTGTGCGTGTCATTGTCAACCACCATTCTCAAACCCCCCATCGTTGATTAGACGTGACGAGATTCCATCGTCTCTGGAATATTGGGGTACCACTGCTAGCATATGGGACTACGCAGTAGCTCAAGACGTCGTTCACCATCTCCCGTCAGTCCCGCCGTTGGTTCCCATCGAGTCTGGCCACCAACCTCAGACTCAGACTGGGCTGCTTTACTGGCTGGCATCACCAACGACCAACCACACCAACTGTGAGCCGTCCCATCATTCTAGCCCGGCGGGCAAGACTCCAGAAGTCGCTAACACGTCCATCAGCATCGAAATCGCCCTGCATCGCGTCCCGCCGGGACTTCCCACCCTTCTCATACGACAACGAACCTGCGCTTTCCGGGAACCCCGCCCATCGTTGCTCCTTAGTCTGGGTCTGCGTCTTCTTAGCGTTCGCAGCAACAGCTCTTTGAGAGGAGAGTAAGCAGATCGATCACTTGTTGTCTTCGTCCTCATCCTCACCAGTGAATAAAGGTACCTTACCACCACTGTGTATGAGGTAGCAAGCGTAGTAAGCACCTTACCCTCCGGTGGTCGCTCGCTCTTTTCATCTCGGCACCTCATCGCAGTCGCACTTGCACTTACTTGCCTTTACCTTGGGGATCGTGGCTACTGCATCCGCACCACACACCTCTCTCACACCCACTTATTCACACACCCACTTTGGACTCGCCTCTGTCTCTCTTACACACTCATTCTCGTTTACTCTTTCAACTCACTCCTCACTTGCTATTCTTTTTCCTCACATGCATACACACACACACACACACATACAGAGGCGGCACAAGGTGTACGCGCACACACACGCAACTTATTATTGCCGTCTCATCCATACACTTTTTTTTCGAGAGCCATCACTTTGATTTTCATTTTCCTGCTCCGACTCGCCGTCTTCAAGGCTTCCTCTTTCTAATCACTTCTCATTCTCTCAGCCTGCGATCCCGCCATCCCGCGTGGCACCAAAAAAAAATCGCCCCCAAACGGAAGACCAAAGTGCAACAACCGACCCTTGCTGAGGTTCCTTACGACTTCTTACAACAGACGACACAGCCTTTCTTTTCTCTTCCCCCCCTTCTGGGCCTGGGCGTTGATTGCGCTCATCTCTTCATTGGCGAAACACAAACACGACCCGGATTCGGCCTGGGGAGAGGGAGTACGTCATGACATCCATAGTAAGTTGGTCTTCTCTCAGTGTCTCCCCTTATTGCTGCGTTACGCTGCCTGTTTATCTTTTCCCACCACCAAAAAAAGGGCCGGCCTACCCATTTCCCATGGACCATGACCACACACCTCGGCCAATCTGGATTGCAGCATTTCCTGCTGGCCCTGGCCGTCAAACCTGACCGACCGTCGTCATGTTATTGGAGAGAGCCGCTCGTTCACCGCCTCACCGCTTCCCGCATATCAGTGCACATCCCCATCCTCCTCGTCTTCCCCGTCGCTCCCAGACACTCAGACAAGCCCGACACGAGACACCGGCAATCAGGATAACATCCCCCACGACCGGGGCCCTGCCTGTTGCAACCGGCCTCACCTTGCCCAACTTCTCTACTCATCTCATCCCATCCTATCTACTCCCATGTCTCCATACGCCTCTACGGAGTACGGATACTCGTCCCCTAATTAGCCACCCCTCCATCTTGTCCTCCCCCATCATTTCCAATGCCCAATTCTTATTCACCACCACCCAGACCCCCTTTGAACTTCCCATAAGAAAGGGAGACTGCGCCGCCATGGCCTCTCCATGCACCCTCGCCCTACTTTGCCTCTCACACGTATAACTCTACCCTCGGGCGCTTGACACGACTCGCTCTCATATTCTGTCGTCTTCTCTCACCTCTACGGCTGATATAAGCTGTTCCTATACCTCCTCGCGTCTTTCCTGGCATTGGCATGGCTACACTTCTTGCTTGATATTCCTTCCCCCTCCACCTTTGGCAGAGTATCTCTCTGTTGCCAAACACACCCAACTCTCAAGGCTGTTGTACTCTCACGATGCGTGTCCCGTCGTTTGAGCACACCTTCGCCACTCCTCGCGAACACCCTGCAACCATGAACCAACAACCACCAGATTCGCTGTCGCTAATGACCGGCCTCCAGCTATGTCTCGCTCACTACTGTGACCAACATGGTCCGACCCCGCTTATGGTCACCGAGGGCCTGCCAGTCCCATGCACAACATGCTTCGATGATGGCGCCGGTGGTTATGCCGATCAAGATCAGCTCCGACCCCGGACCAGCGCCCCAGCACCGGCTGGCTCTCTCAACCAGACCGTGGCCATGTCGGATGCGCTGCGCAAGATGCACCTCAACTCGCACCGCAGTTCGTCTCTACCTGCTTCCGAAGCCGAAAACCAGATCCCGCGCGCCGCCATGCTTCGCGCCTCTTCAGCAAACTCTACCACGAACTCGCCAGCTTCCCCTCTGTCGCCCTCCGCAATCGAGACCCCACCCGAAAGCCCCCGCCGGATATCGGAGCAGCAGCAGCCACGACGAGATTCGAGTTTTCGCCGAACCTACGACGACTACGTTACGAAGCGCGCCGGCCCTTGCGAGAATTGCGCGCTGACGCTGCCGCAACGACAGGGCGGCAAGGATAAGAACGACTTGAAGGCTGAGCGTGGTCCCACATTGCGCACTCGCGCTCCTTACGCCAGGGTATACGGACAGGCATCGCCGCCTACTTCTCAAGCATCTTCTGCTAGTGACACAGATGGAGAAAGCCAACCCGAACGAATGCACCGAAGGGCAACGGGCTCTACAACAACGCGATCGAGCATGTCATCGGGCAGGCATGTCGGCCACACACATTACCTCGACTACACCTCGACCCACGAACCTCTCATCCCAGCTTCCTTCTCGATAGTGCGATCCTCGTGTCTGCGAACCCTTTCACTGGAGACACTACCCCGCGCCCCGGCAAACCCAACCCCTAGTGCATCGCCGCAGTCAAGCAACATGCCAGCCTTTGTCACGACACACAGCGCTGGGGCAGCAGCTTCTGGTGGTCCCATATTCTTCGGCGATCCAGTCAACGGCTACACGACAGCATACATCTTTCGCATTCCAGATATGCATGCTCGCGGCCACAAGCGTGTGTATGCATTTCTGGCTCTTAGCACACACAAGGAGAGACTGGCGATGAAAACATTTGGTTTCATGGCTGCTGCTTTCCGTGATCTTGCTTCGTGGATTCAGCAGTTGGCGGAAGCTGAGGCAGAGAAAGCTGCCGAAGCCAGCCCCCTTGGAGGCCCGCAACACCACAGCTCGTATCCGACGATGATCAAGCCTGAACGCGAAGGACAAGACCGTGGTGGCAGCAGCTTCCTCACGGGAGGTGGCGGCTTCTCAAGGAGAATGGGCGGTGGTCCCGGCGGTGTCTCACTCAAAGCTCGAGGCCTTGCTGAACTTGTCGGCATGCCCGACTTCTTTATTGAGCTGCATGCCAAGTTTGTGAAGCTTATGCTCGAACTTGGCGTTGCGCTGAGCTCTTAGGAGCTGTAACAGTTGCAGCACATATACGTTCACAACACAGAATCGCTGCCTTTGTCATTGACTTGGGCAGTAGAAGACGCGATTCGTACGAAACATACCAACATACAAATCACATACAATTATGATGCGGCGGGCTTAGGCCGGACCTCAGACACGGTAGCAAGAACCAAAGCAGTAATGGGTAATGATAATTCTAATTACCTTGCCCACTACTCGAAGAGAGAGGAGAGGAGGGGGGAGAGTGATTGCAGCGGGACGACGGATATACCCCACAAATGAGATGGTTGGCATCTCATTTGCATTAGGACTTTTTGCATTAGCGAACGGCAGCATCGCTTCCTTATCCTTTTTCAAGCGGTTTTCACGACTAAGCAGGCAGGCTGGGCATGATTTTCATAGACATTGGGATCCCTACTTTTTTTTTCACTTTCTGGCCATGGCTTCATGATACGGGTTTGTCTTCATGTTCTTCCTTTCCCCAGATTCCCCTCGAGAGTAGCGACATTAGACTTCACAACGGAAGCTTCCAGGCTCACGTCTGTGGTAAAAACAGACAACAGAGGGAAGGAAAAGAAAAAGGATAATGGGAAAAGGACAAACGGCAAACAAGGGGAAGAAGGGAAAAGATTTCCAATCAATAGATGGGGATTATCGGATCCGGAAAAGTACTTGGGAAAAGGGGTTTAGCAAAATTCAGAACTATCACCCTGATGAATTTACCATACTCTATTGACGATATCGTAATCCATTCTGACCTTGTTCATACTTGGTTTGCGACCTGTTTCATGAGAACAGTAACTCTAGGGAGGACTTCAATATATAACGGCAATCAAAGTAAGGTAAGTAGTTGCAGTATACTTTATACATAATTCATAATGGGGGGCAAAAAAAACTACATGTAGGCCGACTGATACGGTAATAAGATCGAGAAGGAAAGGTGATATGTGATGTAATGCTTTGTTCCTATCAAGTTACTTTTATCGAGTGGAACCTCCTCTCCCCCCCCCCCCTCCCTCCTTTCGATAAGGTAGGTTCTGTTCCGGCCAGCCATCCGATTTGAAGGAAACCTGAAGTTCTCGGCTGATACCGAGTGAAGTCCCGGTGTGTGTGTGTGTGTGTGTGTGTTTGACGTTTCCCACCGCTCGCCCGCCGACTAATAACCAACGACCGGCCCTCTGATTTCTTCGTCTGGGGACAGTTCACATGGGCAAGTTCAGTTTTGAACACTTTTTTCCTTTTTCAATGTGTCGGTATCATGAATTTCTCTCCTTTTTCTCTTTTGCGCGTTTTCGTACCTCTCTCCCATAGACAAAGACACACACCTATTGCATCTTTTTGAAACAATATGAGCTAGGTAATCAAGTCATCGACACCAAACTTGTAGTATGGCGCTTTTTTATATATTCCCCTTTGTATACTATGCCAGACGGCTCACACTCTGGGTTACGTCCCAGATAGGGTCTGTTTAATCTCACTCCAGCTTTTGTTCAATGAAACGTCTAGGTGTTATCTGAACTTCCGCTCTTCTGCTTCCAACAATCGTCGTAAGGGGTCGGAGGCAGCTGAATGTCGGTGTTGGAAGAGGCACATGTAGTTGAGATTCATGTCTTACAAACCCTGATTTATGAGATCCATAGAGCTGCACCGCATACTCAGGGGCCTCTGGTGATACTGGCGGAAATTTTTAGACAAAGGGAAGCACTCCTTTAGGTCACAGTCATGATCACGCATTTCCCAGCACATGAGTGAAATGGGTTTGAAAACCAGGTTGAAACATAGTGGCGGCAACGCAACTTCTTTATCGAGTGTATTGTATTGTACAACGCGACGCCAAGTCTCGCTCCCCGAAGCCTTGTAAAGTCTATCCCTTGCCTTCCCAGCCGTGCCCTTCATGACATTACATTGCCAGCCTGGCAGCGAGCTCTGTTCGTTCCCCCCACGATGCGCCGTTTCCGCCTGCGCCTTCTCCCTCGGAGAGAGCAGTCGCTTATTTGTAGAAATCAAACTTGTTCTCGTCGCTCGTGCCCTTGACCTGGCTTGAGTAGGCATCCTCCAAATCGCTCTGGATGATGTTGTAGCGGTTCTTCCGCACGGCACGAAGACCGGCCTCCTGCATGATGGCAGCGATGACGGCACCACTGAGAGGATCGTTGCGAACAATCAGGGAGTCCATGTCGACCTCGGGGGCCAAGCTCATCTTGCTGGCAATGGTGGAAAAAATGAGACGACGCTCGCGTCTGTCTCTCAAGCTAGGGAACTCGATCTTTCGGTCCAGACGACCGGGACGGAGAAGGGCGGGGTCGAGGGTGTCGGCTCTGTTCGTGGCCATGATGACCTTGACGTTGGCGGTCTGGTCGAAACCGTCCATCTGGTTCAGAAGCTCGAGCAAAATACGCTGAACTTCACGATCGGCACCAGTCTGCGCATCGAAACGTTTCGTCGCAATGGCGTCAATCTCGTCAATGAAGATGATGGCGGGGGCGTTCTCGCGGGCCATGCGGAAGACATCGCGAACCATACGAGGACCCTCACCGAGGTACTTCTGAACAAACTCGGAGCCAACAACACGAATGAAGTTCGCCGTCGTGGAGTTCGCCACAGCCTTTACCAGCATCGTCTTTCCTGTTCCCGGAGGACCGTAGAGCAAGACACCGCGAGGGGGATCGATACCAATCTGCTTGTAGAGGTCGAAGTGCGTCAATGGCAGCTCGACAGCCTCGCGGATCTCCTGCTTCTGCATGTCCAGACCACCAACATCAGCGTACGTCACATCGGGCTTCTCGTCGGCGCCAAGCATGGCAATGGACGAGTCGGCTTCGGGGGGGAGGATGTCGACGAGGGCGTTGGAGTGGCGGTGGAGGGCGACGGAGGAAGAGGGCTTGAGCTTCTCGCGGTCGAGGGTGGAAAGGATGCGGACGACATAATTCGAACCCGTGGATGACTGTACGATTCCGGTGCTATGATGAGTTAGCATTGTTGAGCTCGAAGCGGGAGCTGTCTGCGGGGGTCTGCATACTTCTGGTCGATGGCCTCCATAAACTGCCCAATCACCAAAGGAACACTCTGGATTCGCTTGATCTCCTCTTGAGCCCGGACAAGCTCGCGCTTCAGACTCCTACGCCAGCGGGTCAGCAAACCAGATGACACGCAGTGATCGTGCGAGTATCGAACCTCTGCTCATCCTTGATATACTCCTCCTGCAACTGGATATACTCCAGTTGTCTTTGCAGCTTCTTCAATGTGGCATAGTCGTCACCTCCCTCCGTCGCGATGCCCTCAAAGTTCTCAATACTAGGGATTGTTGAGGGAGCTGTCTTCTTGTGAGGGGCGACTTGGTTGGCCGGGTTTTCCACCAAGACGTCACCCATTGTGTCGGATATTTGATGGGTATTAAAGGCGTGGAATAAGGGGTTTCGTTACTCGAGATGCCTCGAAGTTCGTAGAGGATGTGAGTTCGCGGACAATAGGCGGTGTCGTTGATGATGGTAAGGTTGTTGATTTCAAGCTGGGTGGTGGTGGTGCTTGCTTGCTCGAGCTTGGCTGTAGGCGTCAATCGGATACGCATGCAGCGCAGCCTCTCAGCCCAGCCCAGCTTAGTCAGGAACCTGGTCAAAGCTCCAAGGTCACGTGCTGTTTGGGATACCAGGCAGGCCCCCCACTGGACACTCTCTGGTTGATTGATTGGCTCAGCAGATGACTTGGAGCAAGGCGAAGTGCCTGCAGCACGTTGCCCAGACTGGAGGCAGCGACGACCTCCGATTGGCCTCGAGTGGGGACGCCTGCCCCCATGTACTGTGGAGACGGCACAAGATCCCTGCCATGATGATGTGAGGGTCTCTCCCGCAATTCCACTGTTAGAGTCGTCGGTGAGTGTCACCGTCGGTCCTTAGCACGGCCTGCTACTCCGGCACCTATCTCTTATCAACCCCCCCATGGGATGATGTGTTCACCGGCCGGGTGCCTCGTTGGGCCTTCGTCCAGCAAGCCGACCTAGCACTGTACAGTCACAGGCACTCCTTCTCTCCATTCTCGTACCTTTAATCCCACTTCTGACTCCTTCATCTGCTTCACTTTGACGCTGCACTGCTTCTCTACCATACATGACCTGCCTTCCGGTGTGCGTTCTCTCGTGCTTCTCCTCGATCTCTCTGACTGCTTTCAATCACTCTTGAACTTTGTCGTCTCATCTTACTTGGGGTCTTCCCTCTGTTCCCCTCCGAAACTACATACATCATGTCGTCGTCAATTGCAATCCCGATGACCCCGTCGTCGGCCAACACATATCACCACCACCAGTCACCCCAGGTCCGGGGTGCTGCTAGCTCTTCCTCGTCGACATACTCCAGTTCACCTCAAACATCTTCCCCGACTTCCGTTCAGAAGCGAAAGATGGTCCATGAACGTCGTCCTAGCCTTCTCAGTAAGTCATCCCACTTTACTCTGAAGCTACACAGCCCGGGCCTGCAGCCTTGCCCGACATGCCTGTCTCGGACTCTGTACATGTCAACTTGGGACCTTTGCTCACATCACGGACAGGCTCCGCCTTGTCGAAGCAGGAAAGCACCGTTATCAACATCGGCGAACCAAACGGAACTCCCCGCCTCGTAAGACCACCATAGTCCTCCTCAGGGAACGAATGCTAACAGGCCATCCAGATCACCTACCTCTCCTCGAGCCAGGGCTTTGCGTGGAACCCAGGTGAGTAAAGTTTGTCCCGGTCTCTCCTCCCATTACTTGCTGACCACTTTGTTCAGAGATCTTCCTGCCGTCGTATGTCGATTGTGACTACACCCCGCTCGAGAACCGACGGGAGCCCGTACACGAGATTGTCCTTAGCGACGAGGAGATCAACAACATGTTTCCCCAATAACGGCGTCCCTCAGAGACGGCCATGACGCTACACATGAACAACTACGTCCTGAGCGCTTAGACCGACGATCCTCACGAGATACATTTTCTTTCCACATCACGGCGTCCGGCCACGACCTGTACCCCCTCGGACTCTTTTATATCATTTTATCAGACTGCTTTACAAACGAACCACCAAGGCAAATGGGCCCATGTTCGATCCGGATACGAACGTGCATGGGAGTACACCAAGTGGAAACACAGTACAAGTCGCATTTCCTTCTCGACATCGAGGAGCTATTAGTGACACCGGCCTTTGGGAATCATCGGGGGAGTTGGGATCGTTTTGGCGAGACGGGTTTCATTGTCTCAAGTTACATTTCTTATCTGTTTGTTGCCGTTTGCTTTTCTTTGGATTGGGGCGTTCCATGGGATTGCAAGCACATACCCTCCTCGATCGTGTACTATGCCGCCTCTACCGCGGTTTTCCCTTTTCATTGATTTTCCACCAGTTCATAGTTCAATAAGGTAGTGTCACATGGACACTATACAAGTCAAAAGCCGTCCGCCACCGTGATCTACACAATGTCCTGATTTATGGCGTACATTTGAGCCTATCAAGCATGTTCCTGTCTCTCTTTCTACGAGAGTTTGGGCAGTAGGGTAGCGCAAGCCGGCCAGGTACCACGTCAGGGTCCACGGGTACCGTCGGAGTAATTGGGCAGACCAGCCGATAACCAACCACCTGTCTTGCAGCCACTCCATAAGTGCATGCCTTACTGAGAGCCCAGTAGTCACAATCATTGAATAAGTGCAAACAGTATCATGTTGATCTTCGAAAATCGCTGAAACGGGCCCCCTTCAGCTTCTGACTCGAAACCTCAGGTCTCTGGTCACCGTTAGCCCCCCTTCTCCCGGCGCACTGTCGTCGGTGTGGCCTGTTTGGACGCCATTCCGTCCCAGATGGCGTTCTGAGAAAGAGGGTCCAGTTACCTTGGGCTGGCTCCAGACCAGCGGAAGACCGCCAGTACCGCAGGCCCGGCGCTACTGTACTGTACCTTCACCGCACGCACCCGAGGACCGACAACGCCATGGCACCTAAACCCCTTCCAAGCAAAGCAAGCTCCGCTTTCGCCGTGGGCTTTGCCCATCTTGGGAAGGGGGGAACCCCACGTTTGTGACATGGGAGTATGGGTGGTGTAAGTGCGATGATGGTCTTTGGTCCTTTGGCTTTTCCCGTTGCTTGTCGGTAACACTCAGAACGATGAAGAGATAAGTGAGACACGATGTACACTCTGCGAAAGAAGAACAGCAAGGTAAGGCAAGGTCTGGGACAGATGTCCCGGTTCTTTCCCTTGCTGAGCACCACGGTGTGCCGCACCGTGCCGGTTATTTATTTCTCACCTTGATAGGTGACGCAAAACAGCGTTTACCCCAGCTGCATCAACCAGCTGAACCATCCCGTAAACCATCGCCCCGCAATTTTCTCATTGTGAGTGTCCGGCGTACCTCCATATGTACGGATAAGCAACGCAGTCTTGAAAGTCCTCGAAACTACCCCTTTGGTTTTGATTTCGATGGTGCGGTAAAATTGTCTATCCTCTGTGCTCCTCCCCCCATGCAGGTCCGTCCCAGTTTCGCAGTCATAGCGTCGAGATGCATCAACCCAGACAGACGGACAAGGGGACGGACGTCCAGCAAGAACGCCAAGTTTTGAGGGTACCTACCGCCGTTCAAAGTCGGAAAAAGAGTTTGGGTCATTTTGCCTGCGTTGTAACACCTATTTAGACAGGCGCTCCTTGACCTGTACGACATAGCATATCCGGTTCGGCCGGGAAGCCTAAGTTGTTGGATGAATGTGTGTGGGCAGGGAAAGTTTGTGATGCTATTTTGAAGATGGTAGCCCGGCTGATGCCGCAAACACACACACCGTCCCGACACCGAACCGGTCGTCATTCATCATGTCTCTCATATATTGACTATCGACGTCGATCCCTTCTCGCCCATCTCTCTGAACAAGATCCGAACCGTGGGACTGCTGCACCTCGTGACCTTGGCGGATGATCCCATACTCTCTTTTCTCCCCTTGCAGCATTCATGCAATGCATGAGGGTAAAGCTGTACCTAGGTAAAACTAAAATTGGGGAGGGTTTCTTTTCTGGTGATGCTTGTCCCGCACAGTGCCGCCGCCCATCATTCCCTCTCAAAGGTGAACGGAACAGGTCTACCTTACTGGTCTGTGTTCCACACCGAACCATTCCCTGAACCTCTTCGGAGCGACTGTCCGATCTCGGCAGTTCTCGGGGTTGGGTCGCTGGCGTTGCATTGGGATCGATTCGGTCATTCAAGGTCGGTACCTAAGGTAGTCTGGGGAGCGTCACATGCTGATAAGAAGATAAGATAGAGACGCACTAGCCTCTGATAAGCCCATCTGGATGGTGGGAGGAGCACGGGTCAGATCGGACGACGGGCTCGACGCGCACCGATGGGGCGACCGCTGGCCGGGGTGAGGTGGTGTCGAATGGAACTGGACCGTCCCGTCGTCAAGCAAACCAGGCGCAAGTAAACATCCACACCGAGGACAAACACAACCCACCACGACTCAACACCCCACCACCCACGACGCGCCAACAAACGTCGCGAGACCAATCGAACTCGAGCAATCTCCCCCTCCAAAACCAGCAATTAAGGACTCTCAATACAGACCGCCCTCCTCAAACCCACTAGGATCCCACTCGAATGTGTTAGTGAAGAAGGAAGAAAAAGAGTGAAAGAAAATTAAGGTCCAAAAAGGAAGAAGGGGATAGGAAACGGAAACGAGGAGACAACTATGGAGGACGCACATAGGAAGATCGAACTGCAATCCCGCGACGACCTCGCGTACCTGCTCACCAACGTCCGGCGCGCCGCGCAGGAACAGCTCGACAATGCGTTTCCGCACATCGAGGGCAGCAACGCGCAAGAGGACGAGCTGCGGGCGCCTATTGAGCGCCTGGTCAACGAGGTGAGGCTACTACTCCAAACTCTTCCCTTTCTCTTGTTTTGTCTCGGTGAAATCTTGCACGACCCTCATGTTCTTGCTTCGAGATTGCCCCTCCAAGGCACGAGAAAGCAAAGGCAGAAGAAAGCGAGCCACACCAACCCCCAAGAATCTCGCTAACACAAACTCCCCCCGAAAACACAGTACATCAACAAAACATTCACCTACGCAGCCCCAAACCTCTCCATAAACGGCATGGACACCGACCCGTCAACCTTCCTCTCCAACAACACACCCTCAGACGAACCAGAAGAAGCCTACGAACCCTGGGACGCCCGCCTCCGCCAGCGCGTCGAAGACCTCGCGCGCGAAGAAGAAGACCTTCTCAACGAAATCGCCGCCCTCAAAAAATCCGTCCCCGGCGCCATCGCTACCGCGACGACAAACGAGTTCAAAGCCGCCGCGGCCGTAGACGAGGCCGCTTTCGAGGCTGCTAAGAAGGCGAAAGAGGACGAGGCGAGGGAGATGGAGGCCGAGGTGCTCCCGCTCGAGGCGATGGAGAGGAGGGGCGAGGTGAAGGAGGCGTTTGGGGGCGCGGTGGGCGGGTTGGGGAGGTTGAAGAAGACGATGCCTGCTACTGTTGCCAAGATGGAGAGGGCGAGGGTTGCTGGGGAGTATACCGTTACGGAACGGTCGTGAGGCAATTTGACGAGAGGGGGGTTCTTTTCATTTATGGGAGTTGAGGCGTTGGGAACTTATACCACAACAGTGGGCATCCTGCCAGACGGCCGATGACCCATGGGCAGTGCTTTTTACATGTGCTGATTGCAGTCTAATAAAGTCTGGAAAGCATAAAGACGATGGTCTCTCTTTTTGCGAAAATGCCATTTAATGGGGTCCACTGATCAAAATGAAAGTATGTATAATGTGGAATAGCAAAGGTTGCCAGGATCAACACGTGTATGAGCGGTTCTAAGAAAAGATGCTCTTGTTTTTAGGTAGCCACCCCCATCTCCCACCCAACCCAGTGTCTTTCTTCACCTCAAGACACAACACCACATTTGTCAACGCCTTCTCTCTAACTGCTCATCCGGCAGCGCCACTCTCAAATGAACAACCTCAATTCCAATGCACGCAATTTCCTAAAACGGCAACGTTTATGCCGCAGCAGGAGCCTTGGCGTCAGCAGTAGCAGCAGCCGCAGGAGCAGCACCGCCGGCAGCCGGAGCAGTAACGGTCTCACCGCCCTTGTTCTCAATGACGTCGCCGCCGGCAGCAGCAGCGGCCTTGGCCTCGGGCTTCTGCCACCAGGGCTCCTTGGTCCACTCGGCCTCGTGCCACGGGCCGGCGTCGCTGAGCTGGCAGCCACCCTGGCACTCGCACTTGCCACCGAGGGACTTGGGGAGGTTCTCGGCGGGAATCTGGTTCAAAAGCTCCTTCTGGTAGCCGGAGCCAAGGATGTTGATCTTGGAGACGGTGACGGGGTCGAGCCAGCCCTTGACGACGGACCAGACGGTGGAGAAGCCCCAGGGAGCGTTGATCATGTAGAGCTTGCCGAGACGCTCGGGGTAGTAGTTCTGGGAGACGACGGAGGCCTGCTTGACGTAGCTGTAGACCTGGGGGACACGGGTGATGGTGACGCCCTTGAGGTCCATGATGGTGCAGCACGTCTCGACGAGGTGGTTGGACTTGCGGGAGCAGGCGGGGAAGCGGGGGTCGGCGCACTTCTCGTACTCGACGGCCAGATTGGTCAACATGCGCTCGGCGGTGGTGATCTTGTACATGGCGTTCAGGTCGATGCCACCAAGCTGCTCAACGTAGACGGGGCGGCCATCCTGTGAAGCAGTGCGTTAGTGAGCGACTTCACCGAGCAAGTTGTCTCTTTCCTATGGCGGCGTACCTTGTCGGTCTTGTGGTAGTACTGGGGGTAGAACTTGAACACCTCCTCCTTCTCGGGGTATTCCCAGGTCGGCACGGTGTTGTCAAGCTTGGTCGTTTTCCGCCAGGTCTCGAAGTCGACGAACCTAAATCATACCCGTCAGCTACATGTTGCACGATCTGATGTGGAAGACAAGACACCGCTTACATCTGCTTGGCGAGGTTGACATCGAACTTGCGGGCGCGGAGGAAGCGCAGCTATAATTCGGCTGTTAGTAAGGTGCTCTGGATGTGGAATTCGCAGGCCTCCGAGTATTGGGTGTCTGCCACAGGATGGGAGGGAATACCAGAGTCAGGGTGTCGAGGCGCTTGTCGTAGCCATCCGACTCAAGCATCAGGCGCAGCTGGGCAACCTGAGCCTTCTGCTCGGGGGTGAGGTGACCAGGGTGACCGTTGGCCGCCGTCGGGGCGACGGTCGGGTAGTCGTACTGGTCGTACTTGGGATCGAGTTCTTGCTGGGACATGGTGGGGGTTTTGTTCTAGGGTCTTCTCGTTGACGAGGAAAGAAGATCGGTGTAGCTGAAGGGATTTTGCAGAGCCCTCCAAAGAAAAAAAGAAAAGAGAGAGGAAAAAGGCGGGGTGGAGGAGAGGTAATGGGATTCGAAGACAATAGGACAACCGTAACAAGTTGTTTGTCCTGAAGAAAGTTGCCAACCAGGATTGTAGGTGTTTAGGAGAGAAGAGCTGGTTGTGGGGAAAGGTAAGGGAAAGGAAGATCTCTAGCGGGAAAGTAGGGGAGGCTTGGGAAGTCGAATTAAAGTGAACCTGCTGGCAGAATGCCAAAAATCGTCATAGCGACCGGTCCCGCACCGCTGTTGCCCCTGGCTGCCCCTCACGAATTGGGCTTTCCCGTCGAACCTAGCCAGCCGTCTACACCGCACTTACGCAGCTACGGATACGCACCCACGGTGCCACGCCTGCCACGGCACCCGCATCTTATTAAGATAACAGCCCAGCCTTACGTAATGATCTGGATTCCTACCCACGAGCACCCGGAGCCGCTGTAGATTGGTGCAGTCTGCCACCTCATGCCCAACATCGTCTCAGATCTTAGCTTGCGGGCGTTGTTCTCGATTGTCATGATTCGGTCACGGTCAGCTGCAGCGGGCCAGCACCAGTGGTATCGAGATGGCGGCTGATCCAATGGCTAAAACTTTCCTTACTAAGTTTAGCTAACCTCGGACGGATTTCTGACAGGTTGGCCTCCAGTGATTAAACATCATACGTGCATAGCTATGCTGTGACGCTGTATTGGTAGTCTGCGATCTTGCACAGCACTAACAAAAACCTCCTAGTTCGCTTTCGTGATCGTTACCATGGCATAAAGGGGTATCGATAATCGGAAGCCTTCAGCCACGACCTCGAAATTAAATCATCTACGGATGCGTGACCCTGGTCGGGATTCGTAAGCCTACAGGGCCATCGCTTGAACCAACGGCCCAATGATCCGGATCGTGTTGTGTAAAAACATAGCTGCGGGTTTATGCTGTGCTGTGAAATTGGGGTTGTGCAAGAAATGGCAGAACATCATCAAGTTGTTTTTTGGTTTGGTATCGAGCTTTTCGCCTTTTAACTGCCAGCCTTGTCCTCGTCCTTTTCCTTCTTGATATCCTTTCCTTCTTCCTTGTCTTTCCGCTTTTGAACCACCTCCCAGTTGTATACTCTTGCGATGGCGACTTCCATAGTCTGTGATTGATTAGTATACGCGGTCAAGCCCGTCTCGCCTAGGTGCCAGATGTTACCGTGATCTGCTCTCTCAGGAAATCCAGGTCCTCCTCGCAGTTTGATAAGCTCGTTTTCGCCGTTGATAGCTTGGACTCGAGTAGGGTCTCGGCTTCGTCGACGGGATACGACAACATGACATTTGCCTGCTGTACAGTCAGCCAGCTTTTCAAACCCATGGCATCGTCTACTGCGGAGCAGTCATTGTCTTACGCCTAGCCAAATGTACACCTCTTCAGTGGGCGGGATCTTTGCTTTGGAGTAAAGCGTATCGTTCAGCTCGAATGTCGTCTCGATCGGTTCATCGTCGTCCTATCTCTTTTGTCAGCGCCTCCTGTCGATAGATGCATCCGTGAGCGGCTAGTCACCAGTCTGAGCTTCAGAAACCGCACAGAGTCGAGCGTCTTCTGTATATCGGGAATCTTGTCGTTCAGTCCAGCCATCCTCTTCTGAAGATTCAGCTCCATGAACTGGTATTTCCTGCGCAAAAGAATGATGTGTTACCAGCTGTTCCCCATGTGCCTAACCTGGCCTTGCCCTTCCCGGTAGCCTCGTTCGATGCGTCGGATTGAAGTTCTGGTGTGGCATGACCAGCCCACCTGGCGGGCGGGTGAGCGGGCGAGTGTGCGACTCACGAAATCATCTCCTGGAAGTTGCGCATCGTCGGTTCGACATCTTCGCGGGTGGTGACGTAGTCCTCGACTTTGTCGACGAACGGCGCTTTGGGGATACCTCGAGGGTTGCTGGGCGTGGCGTCCTTGCTGTGGAGGTGGTTAAAAAAATATGGTCAGCTTTGTGCGCGGCAACGAACGAATTCGGGTAGACATACACAGCCGTCTCCGGCTTCTTTCCCGCTGCCGACATTGTGAAATTGAGCTGATGTTTGCCTTCAGCGCATCTCTCCGATGTTGGTAGGAACTCGCGATTTTTCGTAACGGTGTGGAGGGGAAGCTGCAGTGACGGTACTGCCCAATCTACGGTGGCCTGTTCACCGAGGTGAGGGGTCAAGGTACATGTTTGGTGGGGTAGCTACCTCACTACCTCAGCCAGCTCAACCTTGGGCCAGGTAGCTTGTCACCGCTGACTACTTTCCCTTATTACAGCAATCGCCAGCCAACTATTTGGCATTCATTACAACGGTATCCAAAAATTTGGCAACAAATGACAGACGAAGACGAATGCAGGACTCCCACGCATGGTAGGAGTTGAGTACGAGTTTAAGGCATGCTTCAGTACTGACACTCGACACTAGCCCCTAGCATGGACTAACTTAGAACATTGAACAACACATGAGGAATTGACGAACCAATTCACATCTCGACAACGGAGCTGATCTCACAAAGATCACGCAGGCTTTGGAGGATGGCGGAAGGCCTCGCCGACCTCATAACCGCGCTGTCGCGCTTAACCAGCTTACTCATCAAGGTGAACCCTCACCACCGCCGTAAACGGCTTAGCAACAGCACGCCATGACCGCCCTGCATGTCCCCACAGACAGCTTGCCTTATCTGTGCCTGGGGGGTGGCTTCTTGATAAATAGTCTCATTGAGCTTAAACCGGGACAAGTGGTCGCCGATTTCCCTCTCAACCCTCACCGACGAACTTCACCTCCTACGCATTCCTCGAGACCAATTGTCTTCGGTACGCCCTCTAGTCAGTCGACTCAATCTCGAGTTGTGAGATTCACTATCGTTGACAGTCGGAGTTTCCCCAACGGACCTTTTCAGGGCGCGCACCGATCAACGGTGGCGGGGCAAAGGCATAGAGAGTGAAGCTCGGCAAACAGACCGAACAAACGAAAAGGCTAGACACGATGGCGGACGCGGCGGTTGAGCCCGAGGTTGTGGGCGGTGCTCTCCAGACGGCCAAGGACCTCTTTTCTGGCGCTGCGGGCGGTGTTGCTCAGGTCTTGCTCGGTACGTTTTTCAAAATGCGCAGAACAAAGAGAGGGAGAGGGTTGGCGATGAGATGAGCTTGAGATGCCTTTTTCTGGAGCCGACTTCGGAATCACAGCCGAACCTCACACAATGGCGACCTCAAGCATTCACCACCTCATTCTCACTCACTTCGCCTTCATAGAACTTTCATGAAGCTCTGGAAACGATCAGAGTTCCAGAAACGTGAAATCAATTGAGAAAAAAGCTAACACCCCGCAGGCCAACCCTTCGACATCGTAAAAGTCCGCCTCCAAACCTCAACAACCCCGACAACGGCCCTCAACGCCGCAACCCAAATCTACAAAAACGAAGGCGCCCTCGCCTTCTACAAGGGAACCCTCACCCCGCTCCTCGGCATCGGCGCCTGCGTCTCCATCCAGTTCGCAGGCTTCCACCAGGCCCGCCGCTTCTTCGAGTCCCGCAACGGCTCCACGGGTCCCCTCTCCTACGCCCAGTACTACGCCTCGGGCGCCTTCGCCGGCGTCGCAAACTCGGTAATCTCAGGTCCCATCGAGCACGTCCGCATCAGGCTGCAAACCCAACCCCACGGCGCCGCCCGGCTCTACTCTGGCCCCCTGGACTGCGTCCGCAAACTCGCCTCCCACGGCGGTGTGTTGAAGAACGGCCTCTACCGCGGCGAAGCCGTCACGATCCTCCGCGAGGCGCAGGCCTACGGCGTATGGTTCCTGGCGTTCGAGTGGATGATGAACGCCGACGCGCGGCGCAACAACATGGACCGCAAGGACATTGCGCCTTACAAGATTGCTTTCTACGGCGGTCTTGCCGGTGAGGCGCTCTGGCTGAGCAGTTATCCCTTTGACGTGATCAAGAGCAAGATGCAGACGGACGGGTTCGGCAAGGAGCAGCGGTACAAGTCGATGCGGGACTGCTTCGCGCAGACGTACCGCGGCGAGGGGCTTCGCGGGTTCTGGAGGGGTATTGTGCCGACGCTGTTGAGGGCTATGCCTGTTAGTGCTGGCACGTTTGCCACGGTCGAGTTGACCATGCGTGCTATTAGCTGAGCATCTCTCTATTTGGAGTGGAAAAAAAAAAGATGGGAGACGGAATGGGTGAAATAGGGTCATCTATTTTGAGATTCATTTACTAGAATATGCACACGCTGGGGTTTTGGCAAAATAGAATCATTCAGGGTCATGAATTGTCAAGGATCTATCATAACAACTTGCGACAGGATGGCATCTGTAATATATCAGTGCCTAGCATCATTTTTGTCTGTGTAGATCTGAGTCTGCCTGCTGTAAGGAAATTCCAGACTATTCCTTGTTTTCCACCCTGCGCTGCAAAATATGCCTAGCATTCGCGGGTGTGAGTGTGTCAATGTCTAGCTCTTCCAATAACTTCTTGGCCTCCGTGTTATCGGTAAACACTCGATCCGTAGCGTCCTTGAGTGACAAAGTGCCCTCCTGGGGTTCGTTCGGGAGGTTGAGCAATTTCAGCGCGTCAAACAGACTACCCAATGATCCTACACCATTCTGGATATATCTCTCCACAAGGGAGGAAATGGCATTGACGTCACGCGTGAACTGGGCCGCACCAAACGCGGTGAAGCTCTGCCTCATCAAGACCTCGCCCCAAAGCAGGTCTTGGAGTTTGTCCAGTGCGGAGCGCCATGTGCGTCGGAACGCTGCCGTGCCAATAGCCTTAAGTAGGAAATCAAAGTTGCGCTTGAGGATCTGGTCAAGGTTAGGAGGGACGTTGGGAGTTAGGCTGTGGGGAGACGTACTCTCAAGGGCTCGTCGAGCTCTGGTGTAACAGCCAATTGCGACGGATCGACTGGTAAATGGTTAGTATCATGCACGGTAATGCTTTTAAGATAGACAACTCACTCTCGGGACCACTGTCACTAATGGTTGTCCAGTGTGTCCGTGTCGCATAGGCTCTAAAGGCTTTGTAATGAGAGTCTGCAAGCGCGCTCACCAAAAACTCCTGCGCCGTCTTGCGTCTAAGGCTGTACGCAGCGATTGTCTCATCAAAGAGGACGCCGTCATTAGCCTCCGAGCCGACGGCAGCAGAGGTGCGATCCTTGACCTCTTCGTAACTCATCTCGCCAGACATCCTCGACGTCTCGCCTTCCTTGGTCGCGCGACCCTGCAATTGATCCCATAACGTGACAAAGAATTCCTCGTTACCCCAGTCCTTGAGCGTGTTGACAATGTGGTCTGCACTGCCGTAAACCTTGCACAGAGACTCGAAACTACCGGTGCCTTCGAGAGCCGCAAGCTGTTCTTTCGTGACACCGTGCAAAGTCCTGCCGACTGTCGATGTGAGAGCTTGATAGGCCTCGAGAGAGCCACGCAGACGGTCATGGAACTCGTCGAGAATATCGAGTTGAATTCCAATCAAGAACCGAATCTTGTGCTTGAAGGCGCGTACTCTCTCATATTGGGTTGTAATAGACCTCAACAAGTCAGTGACGCGCACTGCGCCGAAAGTCGGCTTTGTCTTTCCCGTTATAGCGTAATCGTAGTCGATATTTCGTGCATCGGAGCTATCCATGATAGCTTGAAAGCGCTCGAGAGCAAACTCCTTTTCTGCCTGGAACCAAGGCTCGAACCACTGCTCCAAGACCTCAGTAGCCAGGCCGGGCCAACCTTGGTCTGGATCCCCGCCGTCATAGTTGAACTTTGTCCGAATACTCTCATCGAATGTCATTAACTGCCCCATGAAGCTGCTCAAGAAGGCAGGGTTCTTGGCCGTTTCTGCAACCACATTCTGGACCTTCTCTCTCATGACGGGCAGCATGCTGGTGATGAAAGCACAGACCGGATCAACGTATACTAGACTGTTACCCGCGGAGGTATCGCGGAACTTGGCAGCCAGCAGGTAACCCAAGTTGTCTCTATAGAAGTCTTCCCATTTTTCAATGGTTGCCAAGAACCAAGGGAAGCAGTGCGATCCAATAGCATCGGGTTTGCTCGTCGGCTTGTCGCTGAGAAAGTGGAAGCGGAACTCAGAGATGAAGATTCGTGACATGACATCGAACGAGAGAAGGCTGACGGTGGACTTGCTCAGGATGACCTCGGGAATCTGAAGGTCCAGCAACTTTTCAAAGCAGGCGAGCCACTCGTCGTCCATTTCAGAGCTAGGTTCCACCATGGGCCATGACCTCTTGCTGAGAACAGTCTCCAGCTCGCTCGACATTGTCTTCTTCATCTCGTCCCACAGCGTATCGGCAACACTCCGCACGTGATTGACGAGATGTACTGCCGCATCATCAGCCGGCCCTGAGAGTTCCTCCAGGCGCCTCGACAGTTGCTTGAGCTTCGAGTACGGCTCCAAAGCAGCCTTTGGGCTGTCGGGGAGGTGCGAGCGAGCTTCGGTCCGCAGGTTTTCGACGTCTTGTAGCAGCGTCAGGTATTTCTGGGCAAGTTCGATTGTCTGCAGCTTCTTCATAGGTTGTTGCAGCCTTGCGATGGCCTGGTTCGGGGCGTCGGATGCGGCCGCTATCTTGACTCGGACATCGATGCTGTGCTGGAGCTCCTGGAAGTCTTGGATACGCTGCGCGAGGGAGGATTGGCGGTCGCCGGCTGTCTGGCGAGCTTCGTCGAGCTGTTTGATGGCGTTGTCGAGCTGGGTCTGAAGCTGGCTGCGCTGGACCTCCACGTTGGCGATGAGGGAGTCGAGGTTCTCGAGATCGGTGGTGGACTGAAGCTTGTCGTCGAGGAAATCTTCGACGCGGATATCCAGAGCGCCCGCCTGAGCGCGGTCTCCAAACGTCGTGCTCATGTCGGGCCAGTGTTTGTTGCGGCTGTTTGCGCACCAAGTGTCATTCTTGAACCTTCACTTTGCGACTGTGGTCTGAACAATGACGTGGAGCTGAGGGAGGCCAGCAAGTGGTGGGGCACATGCAATTACACGGATACGGAGTTTCTGCATGGTAGAGGCATATTTGGCGACACCATGACGGCTACCTAATCTGGTATATGCACGTATCCATACATGATTGGAAATCGCTGCTGTGTATCCGTAGTTTATGGATCTCCGTGAGCGTCTTGCGATTCTCACATGAAGTAGGAAATTCTTTCATGTTGGATGTCAAAAACGTTGGGGAACCCATCAACGTTGTGGTCATTCGGATAACAGGGCACCGACTCAAGCAATGGATGCATCTGAGTCTTGGCCATGGCGCAATGACCTCTGTTTACCAGCCACATATTATTCAGGGTCGACGAGGCCGGAGGCCGGCTTCTGCGGTTCCCGAGTAAAGCGACCAATTCAGGACTTCTCGTGTGGCTGAGATACTTGTCATCATCAAGGGATTACGGAGTACTGCGAGGCTTGACCATGTTGTCAGTGAGTCATCACGGGTTATTCGCTGGCAATTCTTAAGAGGATGTGATTCCTCCTCTGAGAACAACCGTCTGGCGTTCAGTCCGTGTAATCGGCGACTGGCTCGACGAGGCAGGCGAAATCGCATATAGATTGCGTCAATGGCTTGCCAGGCGTGTTCCTTCGCGAACAGATCCAGATGATGACAGTTTTCCAACGCCGTCGAAGAAAGTCTCCCCAAGGATGGCAGTGTTGGTAGTCGCTGCGCTGGGCGAAGGCAAACACATAGACTCCCGTGATCTGCGCATTTCCGGCAACTCGGGCACCGCAGGCAGACGGCGCTAACATCCGGCGGCGAAGACGGTCAATGCGGACCCGTGAGAGAGACAGAGACAGGAGGAATGGCTGACACTCGACAGCCGTGACAGGTGTCTAAACGACAGTCTTGCAGCCACAAGATGATTGTAATTCATAGGCTGACGATTTCGAGCTGAAGAGTGAGATTGACCGCCAAACCGAGCGGTGTGTTGGTGTAGCTTACCGCTGCAGAGGCGAAGGAGATGGGACTTTGCATGGCGGGGGTGAGAAGTCGATGGGTCTCGATGGGAAACACGGAGCCGCCTGGGGTTCCTGCAGTAGATGTATCCGCAGAGCAGGGGAGTTCGACTGCGAATAGCCTCAGCTGTTGTGTAAGAGAGCAGGCGAGCTGACCGGTGTAGGAATGTGGCAGGGCGCCGAGTGATTGCATCCGTAAAGAACCCGAGGATGATTCTTGGCTGTCATTCGGGACTTTGTGTTTCTCATGCTGTCGCCATGCCAACTGGGGCAAAGGGCTAGAAGCCGTACTTCGTACGGACTTTTGGTGCACCGTAACAACGCATCACCAAGACTCGACACGAGCGAATGGACAAATCAAGGAACCAACGCGATGTGCCGGACCCCGGCTTCGGGTCTCATCTCCAATGCAGGAACCGCCGAGCTGCCGTCTCGAGTCGAGTCGTGTGCCTGTTGGATTGGGTATGGCGAGGGGCAAGCTTGAGGCAAGCGAAGGACAAACAGGGAAAGCCGCGAGATACAAGAGGAAGCGCGAGCGTTAGAACAGCCCACTTAAGGAAGTTTCGACAAGGGGTCTTTGAAGAGAGCTCTGGACTTTTGGAGTATGCGTGTTGCTCTGCTTGGAGCTCAGCTAAGCAGCTAAGATCATAACTGGATAAGGTAAAAGAGAAGCTGAGAATTGGTAGGACCTGACGAGGCTAAGGTAGACAGACACGCGCAGAGGTTTGGGCTAAAGATGCGGCCTTAGATTTGACGGGGGACACGGGACGGGGGACCCCTGAAAAGACGTCACCCAGCCACCGGGCTTTTTTTCGAACCTCTCAGGCCTGTTTCCCGCGCTGGTGGGACCCGTTCTTTTCCCACTAAAGCCACTAAAAGCCACAGAATACGCAGCGAAGGGGCCTCCCCCAGACAACTCTAACGGGTACGTACCGGACCTCTCAAAGGTGTGGCCCCACTCTTCCGCCCTGCTCGCCCAGGAACCGCTGCGACGCTGCGAATCGCCCGGACAACGGCCGCAGTACCAAGAGTAAATAGAGGAGGTTGGCGTAGCTACGTAGCTTCCTTCTAACGTACGGATGCTCTTCCTAGTGACCTAGACACCAAGCATCGCAACCGCCGCACAGCCTTTTTGACCAAAAAGTGGATGGCAGGACCGATTGCGCATCCTCGTCGACGTCTCTTTTTCCCAAACTTGTCACTGCTCCTCTTCTCCAGTCTCCAGAATATCCATCCATACATCCATCGACCTTTTTCTTCCCTCCCAGCCATCTGAATATTTCATTCTGCAGACGTACAAACCTCTCCCGCTCGCCCCGAACCTGCGGGCTTCCCGCTTTCAATTCTGCTTCTGGATCATCGTCAGGCAGAGAGACAAAACTAAGTTCACCCTTCCAACCCTCCTTCTCTCCTCTCCCAGCCATCTCAATATCCGCACCTGCATCTGCATCAAACCACTTCTTTTCCCACCCTTCGAAGACCCGACCCGCACTTTCACTTTGACATCTTCACACACTCTCTCACTTTTGCATTCTACTCAAGAAGCATCAAAAGTGGAAGTCTGTTTTTGCGTCTGACAGTAATCGGAAAGGCTTCACTCTAATCGCAGGTTCCGACACCGTCCCGCATTCCTCGCGGTGTTCTCCAGCAACCCACTACCCACGATTCTTCAACCAGAACCAAGCAACCTTATCGTCTACATTCCATCGAGCCACGAGTTTCCCTCGCTCCGCATTCCCTCTCCGCTCGCGCGATCACCTCCCGCCGACGATAGGGAAAGACACCAAGCGTGCCAGCGCTGAGGTGCCAGGACTAGAACCCCTCCGTCGCTCCGCTACAACGGAGGACGGCGTGGGTCACCAACAAGAGAGCCATTCCTCTCGAGGACTGGAGTAATATTACACAGTCAAAATGCCGAAATTCCAAGTAGGCTGGTATCGTGAGTTATCCCAGCTTATCTCCCTGCAAAGCTCAAAGAACAGAGCCCCGGCTAACATTGCGCCATCACAGGGTTCGTGCCATTCCTAGGATACCACCATGTCTTGATGATCTTGATTGCAGTCGCCATCATCCTTTTATGTGAGTTTCTCAGACCTGCCATACGACCTCATGAACCATATCCTAACGTCTTTCGTAGCTCTACTTTTGGCAGGCTGCTCGTCATCATCACCTCTGATCCCCGACATCTTCCTCTTGTCGCTGTACTATGATCATTACACGGCAGTTCCTTCTACGGCCCAAGTTGATTACAACGTCCACACCGCTATTGAGAACATTGCTGGTGACGCCCGCCTTGCCTGCCGCGTTGGATACTTTGGTATCTGCATCAGCCCGGATGGAGGCAGTTGGCTTTGCAGCAACAATGCCACCGCTCTCGCCAACGAGGTGTCGGTCGATCAGGACCCTCTGAACCTGATTTGGCTTGCCGCTCAGTTCAAAGATATGATTGTCTTCCCCTATCTCATGTGAGTTGACCCACCCGACCTTTCAGCACAGAGTAGATACTGATAGTTTCTCAGCATCATTGCCATCATCTTCGCCTTCGTCTGCTTCCTTCTGCTCGCCACCTTCCCGGGTTGGCACGAGGAGGAGGACTCCGAGGGTTCCGACCGCGAGGTTAAGCCCTTTCCCTCGCGTCCCGTTTCCCAGATTTCGCTAGCCATCATCTTCATCGCCTCCATCTTCGTGCTGGTCTCTGTGCTATGGCAGCACACCGCATCCGTCGCCGCGTCGATCATTGCCCAAGACTTCGGTAACGGCGCTGTCCGCTCTGGTGTCGGTACTTCCGCCATGGTCCTCGGTTGGTTCAGCTTCACCTTGCTCATCATCGTCACCATCGGCTTGTTGGTCATGATTCTCAGCATTCGCGTTCTGAGCCAGATGGTTGATTAAGGGGCCGACGACGGAGAAGATTGAATGAGACGAAAGATTTGACGACGGTACATGTGTGAAGAAGACGGACAACAGAGTCCCAAGCAAGAGTCGAAGGGGAAAACTTGTACATGGAGGGCTTCTCGAGGAGGGGACATCATTTGAACCCCTGCCGCCATCAGCACATTCATCGTCCAGCACCAAAAAACCATCAGCATCTGGGACATCGGCGTTGTATATCGAGTTTTGCGTTTTTGATTTTCCTCTCTTTCTGGCTTTCATCCTGGGCCGGCATGGGGCGGCAAGACATTTCGAAGTCTTGCCACAAAGAACCCCTCGTCATTTTTAATGTTGGTTTGCTCACGCGAGCAAAGACGAATATAGATGAGCTCCTTCTCTTCTCTAAGAGCAGTGGATGACGCAGCATGCTCGCAATGGAGACGAAACAACACCGAGCAATACGAAAGGAGGGAAATGGGGGAAACGAAGTCGGACGCATGGGAAATGGGAAATGTGTAGGAGTATGTCATCCGCTGTAGATGACGATGAGCAAAGGCGTCCTCGAAGAGATGACACAGATAAGACGAGATGGAAATGAAATTGAACATGACAAACAAACCACAAAGCGTACTACTTACGTCCATGTTAATGAAGTGACATGGCAATTGACTCATGTGGCCCTTGCATCGTGTTTGAGAGACCCTGTGACGAGGATGGGAGGGAGGGGCTGTGTAGTGGGAAATACAATCTCGTTGAGTAGCGTCAACGATTTTTTTCTTCATCAGAGGGTAAGTTTAGGTAGATAGAGCAAGGCAGGCTTGGCCACTTTCATCGCTCATCATTATGCTGCAGACTGGCATTTGGCTAGCAGACCTTTTTTAACTTTATACAATGAACAATCCTTAGCCCCAGCAAATCGTGCCACGCAAATCAACACAAGCACGCCGCAACGCCATGGTAGCCACCACCCGTGATATCTTATGCCAAAAAGTCATGCTCTCTGCACCTTGCCCTCGTACACACACACTTGAATTCACACCTTCATCCCGCCTCAAACAGGACGCTTGAACGGATGCGCCTCGGTGTTGAGGACCCAGTCGTCTAAGCTAACGACATCGGGAGTTGAGAACAAGAGGTAAAAGTACTTCAGCGTCTCGGCGATCCAGAAGCTCTCCATCTCGTCCACAGGTTGAGGATCTTCAGACAGGACGTCGTCGATGGCGCTGTTGCCGTGCTCGGTACGAGTCGCCTTGATGATGGCCTCCCACATTTTCCATCCCTTCTCTTGCCATACAGGGTCTCCAGTGATGCGATACATGTACCACACGGACTCGATAGCCTCCGGACTGTAGGAGTGTTAGCCATGCTCAAATCTTGAACGAGGATAAGTGATAGCTTACCGAAGAATGTAGCGCCTGGCGTTGATGTTGACGAAGCCAGGCGGGATCTTCTCGAGCTCTAACTTGTCTTTGACCCACTCCTCATGCGAGAGCGGCTTCGGGTCGGGAACCTCTCCCTCCTCCTCGAACGCGATCTTGCCCACGATGCCACCGCTGACGGGTGCATCGTTGGGGACACTGCTGGTGATATCGTCGGTGGCACTTCCAGGGTTGTTCAGGTCGAGCTTGTCCTTCAGAGTGTTGCTGGCGGCCTCCTGAGCAGTGCCCTTACGAGGGTCTTGAGACACTGGCGGAGCAGGATCTCTCTTCTTCAAAAGGTGCTCATCAACGTTGGAAGGGGACTTGTTCAGGCCAGGCTCAGGCGCCGGGTACTCGGTTTTCTCAGCTGATCCTAGCTTCTTCGGCTCATCCTTGGGAACGTGAATATCGTCGAGGGGGTCCTTCTTTTCGACGGGTGACTCGGACTGGGCAGTCTCTTCGGTTGACTTCTCAACAGGCTTGTTGCCTCGTTCAGTGGTTTGCTTACGGAGGGCGTCCTGCTGCTTTTGCTGCTTCTTCTCACGTTGCCTGTCCTCCCACGCCTTGACCTGTGCCTCACGCCAGTCAGCTGACGGGTCGAGGTGCTCCCACCAAAGAGTCTCGTTCCACGGGCAGCTCTTGGTAGACGCGCAGGGCACGACAGAGGCTCCTTCAGGCATGATACCGGAGGGCATAGTCTCGTACGCCCAGACGCATCCGTCAGTGAGCTTCTTGGCGATCTCAATATCATCGGGTCTGTCAAAAATCTTGCCTCCCAGACCAAACATGCCACCAATGAAGCAGGTGAGGTGAGTAACTTCATACTCAGTTCGCAGATCGTTTTCGGGGTCGCCAGATGTCGAAACCTTGGCTGAGAAGAGGATATCCCTTTCTTTGGGAACCA